CCGGTCTAGAAAAGGGTGCAACTGGCACACAAGATGCACCTGTGCGAAGGCCCCCCTGGTTACGGCTGTCAGATGATCATCCAAGGACAGCGGAGAATCCAGGAGGACACCCAAGTTGCGGACCCTATCAGAGGGAGTAAGGGTCTCTCCCCTGATCACTAAAGATGGAACCTCCAGATCCCAGTGTCATCCACAGCCACTCAGTCTTGGAAGGGTTGAGTCTTGAGTCTGTTCCTCCCCATCCAAACCCACACCGCTTCCAGGCAGTGGGACATCACGGAAAGGGCATCCCTAGGGTGGTCAGGGGTGGAGATGTAAAGCTGGGTATCATCAGCATATTGATGATACCTCACCCCAAACCATGAATGATCTCACCCAGCGGTTTCATGTAGATGTTAAAGAGCAGAGGGGAGAGAACCGATCCCTGAGGCACCCCACAAGTGAGGGGCCTTTGGGAGGATCCCTGACCCCCCGCCCAAACAGACTGCAAGTGACCAGAGAAGTAGGAGGAGAACCACTGTAAAACAGTACCTCCTATCCCTAACCCCCTGAGCCACTGCAGCAGGATACCATGGTCGATGGTATCAAAAGCCACTGAGAGGTCAAAAAGGACCAGGATGGAGGAACAACTCCCATCCCTGGCCCGCCAGAGATCATTTACTAGGGCGACCAATGCCGTTTCCATGCTGTGACCACGCCTGAAACCAGATTGGTAAGGATCGAGGTAGTCTGTTTCCTCCAGGAATTGAGGGAATTGCTGCGCCACCACGGACTCAACAACCTTCGCTAAAAAGTGAAGGTTGGAGACTGGACGATAGTTGTTAAGAACGTCAGGATCCAGGCTAGGCTTCTTAAGGAGGGGTCGAACCACTGCCTCTTTGAGTGCAGCGGGGAAGACCCCTTCCTTTAATGAAGCGTTGACAACAGCCTGGATCCAGTCTCCAGTCACCTCTCTGGCTGCAGAAACTAGCCAGGAGGGACAAGGGTCCAATAAACACGTGGAGGACCCCAGCCTACCCATAATCCTGTCCATGTCATCCAACGAAACAGGCTCAAACCCAGATGTCCCCATCAAGACTAGCCCCAGTCTCCTCAGCGGACTCTGTCCAGTCGGAGTCCAACCCGGTCTGAATCTGAGTGATTTTTTTCTGCAACCACTTTGGCTGAAGAGGCTGTAGAAAAAAAAATGCCTATAAAAGCCTCTGGTGATCCCAGCTGAGTTGCCTGATCATCAGAAGCTTCTAAAAGCATTTTTTTTCTGCAACCTCTTCAGCTGAAGAGGTTGTAGGGGAAAAAATGCCTTTAAAAGCCTCTGGCAATCCCAGCTGACTTGCCTGATTGTCAGAGGCTTCTAAAAGCATTTTTTTCTGCAACCTCTTAAAGTTGTAGAAAAAATGCTTTTAAAAGTTAAAAAAAAAAGTTGGCCACGCCCACCCAGTCACATTAACCCCCCCCCACCAAGCCACGCCCACAGAACCGGTAGTAACAAATTTTAGATTTCACCCCTGGTTTGGATAGCTTGGCTGTGGGGGTCCTAAGGTAAGCTGGTGGGGGGCACATGGGGCAGCTCCACTCCCCCACCTCACCTCGTGGCAATGGCACTGGCATGTCACTCGGCCGCCTGCTCTGTTGCAGCCACGAGCAAGCAGAAGAAGAGGGCCGGTGGCCATAGGGGGCCCTTCTGGATGGGACTGCCAGAGCCGCTGCCATGAGGCAAGGCAGATGACAGGACGTGGGTGGCCTGATTGTGGGGCCCTGAGATAAGCTGGTGCAGGGCTCTTGGGTTGCTCCACACACACACACTCGCAGAGGTGGCACTGACACGCTGCGCGGCCTCCTGCCCCACTGTGAGCAAGCAAAAGAAGTGGGCCTTCTGTACTTGGGATTGGGGGGAAGACCATCCCCGAAAATAAGCCCTAGTGCTTATTTTGGGGCCCAAAAGAAAATAAGACCTGGTGTTACTTTTGGGGAAGCACGGGCAATAGAAATAAAACAGCAGCAAATTCCTAGAGCAGAGCATGTGGGGAATGCAGAAGAGCAAGTTGAATGATTTGAAATAAAATTTTTAGATCCTAACTAAGGACGATGTAAACTTGCCCATCAGATGTATAAGCTAAACATAAAGAATAGATGCCAAGCCCAATTCAATGTACCACAAAAAAGCAGCCCAAGACATCATTAGAACCATTTGCTACATTGGTGGGAGTAGTATTTAAATGGAGGAAATAGTATATTGAGTTGGCTTTCCTTATGCACTATCCATCCCATTTAAATCACAGATATTTTTCCCATCATTATCCTTGCTCACTCCTATAATTTGCATAGCATATGTTGTTTGTGTTCACACTAGATGCTTAACCAGTTCAAATAAAGATTTAGCAGATAAAATGATGCAGTATAATGATACAGCTCTTTGTGGCTTAAGCATATTGTGCAAACCCAACCCATTTGGTCATTTTAAAGTTCAATGGATTGTCCAAACTCAGAAGATGGGCTTATTCATTAACTAGGTTGTGTGGAAACAGAGAACACATAATATAAAAAGTAGACATGTGTTCCACATAATTTAGGATCTAGCCAGTTCAACTGGAAGAGAAAAAGGTGATGTTTTCTCAAATAGATTCCTGTATTTCTTTGGGGACCTTTGCTAGTCCTGCAAAACAAAAAACAAACAAAACTAGACAATACAGTCAGCTTTGAGGGGGGAAGAATGGCTAGATTTGTATAGGAAACAAGAAAAAGGATATGTGGAATTCACAAACCACACAGTGCTTTGCTATCAAATCTCAGTGACATTCATGCAGATTATGAATTGGTTTCTCAGAAGAAAACTTAAAATTGACACAGACACAATAATTCTACACAATAGTGTTCATAGGTATGCAGATGATATGTATACATGTGTGAGCACAGCAAACCAGCATTTTATAATAAAAATGAAAAAGAAAGCTACGAAAGGCATCATATGGTAGTGTTTTTTAAAGGAAACTCACTACATAGAGTCTGTGTGTTTGAATCACTGCTGGAAGATGGAAGTGAGTGTGGCTTCCATAAGTGGAACCCTGCCTTTTATGTAGTTTCTTGATAACAACATAGTAATCTAACTGTGGTTGCACAGTTTTATTATGCCAGCTGATGCAAGGGGACATTTTATCAATTCTAGTCTGCCTAGTGACCGAAACAAGAAGTCTATAAATTATCTTGTGCAAGTCAATATGCTTTTACATCAATTTTCCATTTACAATTTGAGGATACTGAAACTTGATGTGCATTTTAGCCAGCACCTTTTCTTGGAAGTCAATATGGCTTGAATTTTTGGAAGATAATGATAAGTCACATTATTTGTCTGTCTAACTCAATATATATTCTAATACAGAGAGAGTCTTTCTGGGTTATCAATGTTATTTGGATTCTTTTTAGCTGGGGCCAAAACAGGGAGCTTCTTCATGAAAATTACATGGTCTATAAATGTTTCCTTCCCTTCCTCGGGATATTGAAATTATTCTCTAATTTATATTTAGAGACATCAGTGCTATCAATGTCCCATGGGCATCATTTTATCTGATTTAAATCCCTGAAAGTCAGACGAATTAAAAATGTACTTTCCAAGCTCTTAATTTATAAAGTCCTATTCAGGAACAGGTTTCTAAATACATGAATAAGATGCCAGAAGATACCTACTGTAATTAGTTTTGTCCTCTTGATGTTGTCCAGTGCAATAATATTACTCTCAAGCTAATACATTTGACTGGGATACCCATCCCTCTGTTGTAAAGCCTACTTTTGAGGAACCATCTCTTCACTCACATACTAGTTTGCAAGCATTATTGGTATGCATGTCATCATCAAAGAGAAGAAATTAAATCCAGACATCATTGCTGAAGATTATTCATATTAGTGTTTTCCAAGTGACACCCACTTGATTTGGAGAAAATGGAACTGGTGTTGAAACTGAGGGGAGAACATGTTGGTTCCAGAACACCTGGGAAATCATACTTTACTCAGATCTTTGCTTTTTAAAATCTTATCCTTATTTTCCTCCATTTTTTTTCAGTTGGAAAGACCTTCACTTTGGTATCAATAATTATTTCACACCTAGTGTTACAGAAAAATTATGTTAAGCATTATTTGTGCACACGAGTTGGAGCAACAACTCTATGACTTCTTGTCAGTTTATCTGTACAATCTTGAGGTCATTTGCAAGAGTGGAACTAAACATTATCTGCTCCAGAGAGGAGGGTTAACCAACCCTTACTTCAGTTTACTTTGAGATGCATCTCATTTACTTTGTGATGTATATTTTTAAGCCCTGTGAAGTCATTCATAACGATTGTTAACAAGGTAAACCTTTTCCTTACTGTTTAATTTTTAATTCCTCTTTATTTTACTTTGGGGTAATGAGGACTGCTTCCAAGACATAGTGTGGGACTTCCAGCTTCAAATACAGTGGGCATCTCCATAATTTGATCACTCAAGATTCATCACTTGTTGCTTGTATGTACACTGAGAGCTTAAGCACCGGAGACAAATCCTTTGTGTGTCCAATCATACTTGGCCAATAAATAATTCTATTCTGTTCTGTTCTGTTCTGTTCTGTTCTGTTCTGTTCTATTCTATTCTATTCTATTCTATTCACCAATTTGCCTTCTCATCCTACCACTGTCTGTATATTGTATTTTATTACTGGAGAGCTGTCAACTATGTGGGCCTTGGGATGATTCAGCAGTCTGCCTTTTTCATACTTTACTAGACTGGAGCTGAAAACATGCTTCTGCTGAAGCCTCCATTTCAGATAGTCGTTTTGTAGTTTAATGCTTCTGCTGATTTACTGGATTGCATCTCAGGATTTTTTCAAACCTCATTTTATTGTACAAATAGTGAATGTTGCATCTTTTAATAACTATTACAATAATCCCATAGGAATTGTGGGAGGGGGAGGGAATGGAGCAAGGGATTTAGGGAGAAATGCAACATTTGACCAATGGCTCTTCACTACTTCATCACCCAGCTTGTTTTTTTTTTTTTTAACATTCCAAATGTGCATTACGCTGTCACATACAGGATTACAAACAAAATTACAGTACAGGTTGATTTCAGGTGAACCAGCATTACATTTCAGACAGCACTTATTCTGGGTTGCATTGTGCATGCATAACTATCTTGTTCTAATTACAAAGTCAAATGATTTGCATTGGTTTGAAAACTGCTAACTACAATTGGTATATAATATAACCCAACGATCATAAATCTTTTAATTTTTTTCCCGCCTGGACAGAAATAAAAAAAATTATATAACTATGTATTTTTAAAATCATGCATTTAATGTTGCATGGAAACAGTGTTTCTTTATCTGTAGTTTCTTCAAAATTTGAAAGGAATTAGGGTGGACACCAAAGAGCTTTAAAAAAACATTGCAAGTTGAATGTGATCCTAAAGCAGCTGTTTTTTGTGGATAAGTGCAGGGTATTTGTTCATGAGAACATGGGTACATGCACACACATGCACACACACACACAAAATTTTGCAGTATTGGAATAATATGCCAATTTAATTAATGGGAAATAAATATTTTCCTTCTTCCATCCTTTTAAGCATTTTTATAAATGAAAATAACATAGAGGTTTTCTTACCCTCCCCCAAAGAAAAGTTTTGAAGGTGTGTGTGTGTGTGTGTGTGTGAAAATTTAAAAGGAAATTGAAGGGGGGAGATGCTAAGGCAACAAACAGCTTTTTTTCTCCCTTGTTCTTCTAAGTATTTTTCTGCTGGTTTAAATTACTTAAATCATTCTATATAAATTAGATAGTATTCTACTTTGTTTCTGATAGGTATAAAAATTGATGAAGCTGCATGGTTCAAAATAGTTTATCAAAAAGTTATTAAAAATTCTGTACAAAAAAAAAATCACAACAAAAGAAGCCAACAGGGGAAAGGTAACAAGAAGGGGGGGGGGAAATGCTGATTGAAAAATATAAATTTTATATATACTTTCAATTTCTTTCTTCTTCTTTTTGTAACTGACCGATTTAGTGTTTGTTTGTGTTTTGTTTTTTTTAAAAAAAATTGCATAGATCCTAATTATTGCTTGCCATTCGTTGTGCCGATCAAACCAAGGGAAAGCCGAACTTCAATCTAATCAACACCATCAAAATTCGGAGTGACGGGAGGAAGGGCGAGAATGACCGGCGGGCCCAAGAGAAATGTCCGCTTCTCCGTTGCTCCTGAAGGCGAGACCCCTAATACGCATAAAAAGTGTCTCTGAAGCCTGGAAGGGTTCCCTTTCCTCCACTCCTTCCGTCTTTTGCGCCCTTCCTTGCGCGGAACGTAGTAAGCCCGGAGTCCGTGGCCGCCGCGAGCATCCCGGTTCCACCACCTAAAGCGCCTTGGGAGATCTTTCAGTCGTGAAAGATCGCGTTGAGCTGGGCGCTCATGACCCTCTCGTGATGGACCTGGCTCTCGTAGGGCAGGAGGCTGTCGAGAGGGAGATCGCAGCGCGAAGCCGCCGAGCAGGCGAAGATAGAACCGTGGCCGGGAGCTCCGGCCAGGCCGGCGGTCGGGTAGTGCATGGTGAAGGCGTAGTTCTTCTCGAACTCGTTGGACGGTTCGTGCTTGAAGGAGAAGTTCCCGTTGACGCTGAGCGGCGGGCTGAGGGGCCCGTCGAAAGCGGGGCTCTCACCTTCGGCCAGGGCGCTCTCGAAGAAGGGCTCCAGCGCTGCCCCGTAAGCGGGCGGTGCCTTGAGATGGAAGAGATGGGAGCTGTCCATGGTGCCGTAGGGCGGACTCGGAAGCCCGGGCGATTGGTAAGGGTAAGGATGGCCCGGGAAGGAAGCTCCGGTAGGCTGGATGTGGGTCAGAAGCTCCGGGTTCTGCTCGGGCAGGAAGGTCCGAGGATTGAGCTGGAGGCAGCCGGCCACCAGGTTGGTAGTGGGCTGAGATAAGCCTTTGCAGAGACTCTGCACGAAAGACACCAAGTCGGGGCTCTTGCCCGAACGCAAGATCTCGGAGAGAGCCCCGATATAGTTTTTGGCCAGGCGCAGCGTCTCGATCTTGGACAGCTTCTGCGTCTTGGAGTAGCAAGGTACGACTTTCCGCAGGTTGTCCAGCGCGGCGTTGAGACCGTGCATGCGATTCCGTTCGCGGGCGTTGGCCTTCATACGCCGCATCTTGAATCTCTCCAGCCGCGCTTTGGTCATCTTCTTCTTCTTGGGGCCACGTCTTTTGGGTTTTTGGTCGTCCTCGTCGCCTTCCTCGTCCTCCTCCGCTTCCTCCTCGTCTTCATCTGCCTCCTCCTCCTCTAGGTCATCCTCCTCTTCTTCCTCCTCTTCTTCCCCGTTTCTCAGAGATTCGACATCAGCCTCTGCCTGTAAGGTTTCCAACTCCTCCTCTTTCTTGTCCATTTCATGATCGTCGTCCTGGGAGCTGAGGCAATCGTCAGTCCAGCTGGGGGTGCCGTGAGGCTGAGGCTCTCTCATCAGTGGGTGTTCACTGTACGATTTGGTCATTCTGAGTATCCTAGGCCAAGAAGAAATAAACATATTTAAAACTACGGACACTGCATATATGTACGCATAATATTCTGCAAGCATGCTTCGTAGGAAATAAGTATTACTGGACTTCCTGAAATGTTTCTGTGGGTACCTCGCAAAGATTGTACTATTTTATCTAGGAAGCATTGTCCAGTACAATATCATTCTAAGAAACTGTCTTTGGCTTCAATTGGATTTCATTACAGTTCCCGTTACACCTGCAACTTCAGGAACGCCACGGTCCTAAATTAAATCCCGTGATCTGTTCATTTTTTTAAAAAACTGAACTAACCGAGGGACACTGCCCAGAAATGAAACTTACTCTTGAAGCCTTTCCCCAACGAACTTCTAATTCTCGTAGTTCTCTTCACGATGATACCTCTTGTCTCAAAGAGCTTATGTAATGTTTTATAGGGATTTATAGGCGGAGGTCTCTAACCAAGAGGGGATCGAATTGCGTTTAAAACACACCCACGCTGTGGATCCAGTGGAGCAAATTGCCAATAATAATTTATCCAGGGCAGCAGGAGGAGGATTTATTCTTTTATTCGGCTCTCCTTTTCATTGCTTTTGCCTGTCCACAATAGCAGCCGATGCCATCCTGCACAAAAGCTTTACAGACTTCCCAACTGTTCAGAGTCGAGGAAAAGCCTGCCACCGAGACAGGGATCAGGTGCACTGACCGCCTAATAATTCCCCGTGCCACCCCCCCCACCTTTTTTTTTTTTTTTTGTCTGCGGAACCTCAACGTTCTGGGGAAACGTTTGCTAATGAGGAAATGGAGGGGGCGGGGGGGGGAGGGGACGGGGTTGGGGTATGGAATGAAACCTGCCAGTCAGGGCAAGCACAGCGCAATCAAAATGCAACAGTTGAGCCCGTTGACTTAGTTGACTTCGGAAGCCCTTTGCTCCTCCAGATTGTCAGTCAAGCCCTGTCCCGAACGCATTAATTGGCAGCAGAACTTACCAAATCTGTTCACTCTCTGCTCTAAACTGCACCATCATCTTCATCATCACCCCCAATTTATTTGATTTAAAGTACCATTTGGAATAATTTCATTCCCCTCCCTTATTCTCCCCACTTTTGCTGATCCCATCACCTTCAAAGCGAGGACCACGCATGGCTTTAGAATGAGCAGCCCTTTCCGTCCAGCCTGAGGGGGAGTCCATCTGGTTCGTTTCGCACCCCCAAATCGGTGCCAGCCAGCTTCTGAGCCACAGAGCCAGATGCCATGATGGGCCGTATCTGTTTCATTCACCCCCCCCCCTTGCAAGGCTTACTTCGGTAATCGGAAGGGAGGGAGGGAGGGAGAGAAGGTTAAGTCTAGAAGCTTTTGCAACGTTTTCTAAAAAACGTGTCTCACTTGGGCATAAGTGTAACTTCCACTCCGAAGTAAACACACACACACACACACACACACACACACACACACCTCTTGGAGCCGGCTGGAAGCCACCACGGAAAGCCAAGAGCCTATCAGTTCAATGGCTCTTCTTCTTGGTTTAATGCGCATTGATCGAAATCAGGCTCAAAAGGGCGAAGGCATCACCACCCTGAGCATCAGAGCCGCCTGCATCCGAGCTATCGTTTCTCCCACCTAAGCTGGACATCAAGGGCATCAATTACCTCTCCTTTTTTTCTTTCTTTTTTCCCCCCTTCAGCTTGTCCTCCGCAGCGCAGGTTTCATAACCCAGTTGCTCCCGGGACGCGGACGGGTTCCTTTTTTTAAATTTATTTACTTCATCGATTCAGTCCGATTATGATTACTTTTTTTTTCTTTGAAGCCGCGCGGGTTAAAGAGGCTCAGGTTATATATAGGCAGCCTGGGCATGCTTGGGAAGGGGAGGGGCAGGGGAACGGGCGGCCCCGCCTCATCGCCGCTCCCTCCCCGCCCACTTCTTCGGGCGATCGCGTCAGCCTTTCCCCCGGCACGCGCCATCTGGTCCCCCCCCCCCAACGTCAGGCTCCCGAAGCGGCGGGCGCGGGGAGGAGAGGCGAAGGGAGGGGGGGGGGGGGGGGGGGGGGGGGGGGGGGGGGGACGGTTTGGCGGTGTCACGTGAGCTGCCCATTTGTATGCCCGCCCCGCTCTCCCCTCCATCCCTTTGTGGCCCGAAGAAAGTGGCCATCTGTCGCCAGCCGGAGATTCTGCGGACCTGTTTGTACCCGCAGGAGAGATTAACCCGTTCTTCTGCTCTCGGGCTCGGGGTTTGTTGGGGAGGGGAAAGGGGAAAGCAGGGCTTGCCACTTGCACTTTGCCACTCTACGACAGACTGGCTTCTCTATAGAGAATAGAAAGAGGAACAGATTTCTCTCCCCCTCCTTTGATTTCTCCCCCCCCTCTCAAATGCGAACGCCACTCCGAATATCAACTTGATGGGGCGCAAAGGGAAGAGGTAATTTACCCAGGTGAGAGGCAAATTAACCTGACTAGGTGGTCGATCAGTAAAGGTCGGCAGTTCGGCGGTTCGAATCCCTAGTGCAGGTCTCCTGCGTGAGCAGGGGGTTGGATTAGATGACCTTCAAGCTCCCTTCCAACACTGTTACTTACTGCTCTTCTTCTTCTTGGGCTTCTTCTCCATCACTCATCTCCTGAGAAGCTGCCCTGAGAGTCCCTGCGCCCTCACCTATACAGAAATCCAGAGGAACCTGGCATCGGAGACAATTCTTCGGTCCTCCAGTCGCCTTGTGGTTCAAACCCCGAAAAAAGACAGAAAGTTCCTTCCCGTCTCCCTTCTGTCTCGAAGATTAATCCAACGCCAGCGGAGATTTTGGGGTCCGGCCCGCTTGTTGGGTTTTTTTTTCTTTCCTGTCTCATTGCTTGCCTGTGGGAAGGTGTTGTCCCCTTCCGAAAAAGAAACCGAACTAACCATTTTCACAATCATGCAGTTCGCCAGTCTTCATCCCCAAAGTTAAAGCCCCAAAGAAGGGGCACACCAGAAAAATAAGATGAAGAAAACTGTTTTTGAACAAGTAGGACACCTAAGATCTCCACTTCAGGAGATTTATTTAGGGAACAATTGTCTATGGAGATTCACAGTCATCCAGGTCATGGTTGTCCCAAAGGTGCTTTTTTTTTTTTAAGAGGCAACTGGACTTTCTAGTTTTTCGTTGAAGACGTTTTGCTTCTCATCCAAGAAGCTTCTTCAGCTCTTTTAGGGAACTTTTTTTTTTTTTAGGGAACAGTCTAGGTAACGGGTTTTTTTAATTTAGGGAACACTTTTGCAGAAAACGAGAATGATGGAGGGTGATAGTCAGAAAAAGAAAATAACCTGTTTTAAAAAGCAGACATAGTTTTATAAGTACCAGGTAACAAAGTTACAAAATACAAAGTCCTTGTCCAATATGTTTTTCTTCTTAAAAGAAAGACTGGTTTTTTAAAGAACAAAAACATACCGAACAAGAACAATTAGTAAACTGATTATATTGTTGTATTCAGAATGTTTACTGACGAGGGAAGGAGGAAAGGAAAGGAAAGGAAAGGAAAGGAAAGGAAAGGAAAGGAAAGGAAAGGAAAGGAAAGGAAAGGAAAGGAAAGGAAAGGAAAGGAAAGGAAGACCACTGGAGTTCTCTTTCATAGTTTGTGCTTTCTCCAAAGAAAGGTTAGGGGCTTTCCTCCGTTGTCTCAGCTACTCTCAGACTGTGGTACTTAGAAGGCCCAAATGGCTGCTTTCCTGTGGATGCAGGCAAACAAATGTCAGTCGGTCCAGATCTTTCTGTGGGTCATCCAATAAGACTACATAGAAAGCGTCACTTTCGTAGGTATGCAGGTGGATGTGCAAGCGACCCCTTTCCTAGTGTATGATCTCATTCCTCCTCCCTCCCTTAATGCCCTAACAACGCCAGTTCCACTCTACCTGTGTCCAAGGTGGCTGTCTGAAGGTGGTGTCTAAAACAGTCCTTTATGCCTTTATGCCTCCCTGAGAGAGAGAGAGAATCCACGTCCACCAAATCCTCTGCAGGACAAGGGAAGAGAAGGCAAGGAATTGCTAAGTGAGCTTTTCCGGCCCATTAGACAAAGGTTTCTGGGAAGCAACTACCAAGATGTTTTGTATTCTAACCCCTGACCCAGTCACAATTTTGGCAGGTGGTGAAAGTCTAGGAAGCGCTAAACATTCAGGTTGAAATCTGTCAGCTCCGAGCCCCACCAGGGACTGAAATCTGGATTCTTGCCTTTGCTGTACCTCCAACTCGTTTAATTCCGGTGGCTTTTTAGGGGGGACTCCACTAACTCCGTTGGAAAAGATACGGACAGCATTACTTGAAGGCGCTGTTACAGCTCCAGTCCCCAGATACTGATACTGATAAGGAGAGGAGGCTGATGAGAGGCCTCCGATTCTCCCTGATTCTTCTGCCTCCCTTATTCATTCCCTAAATCACAAGAAAATCAACCCTAGTCTGTCGGTTTTAATCCCAAAAGAAAAGTTCTGGGTCCCCCCCCCCCAAATTCCCATTTGTATCTCTCGAGTATGTTTTGTAAAATAACACCGGACTGTACAGCGGCCCTCAACAACTTGCTGCCCACATTATATCACCGCGCTGAAGGTTAAAGGACGCCAAGAATAGCTAGTGTGAAAATTCACTCCTGCAATCAGCTTTTCGTTCACTGGCTTCAAATAGCGCTCCCCTCCCCGGAACCAAGCCTAGCTTTTAAACTCAAAATTTGCTTAGAAGAAAACGCGGGTGGGGGGGTGTTTACGGACTCATTTCTAAGTAAACTACCTGGAGGATGGGCCAGGCACATCAGCATTCAGCAGCACCTTTCCCTGGGAACCTTCTGTGCCTTCCTACCCCCTCCCTCCTTCCCGAGATCATTCTTGCATATATAACAGGCACCCCAGACTTTTCCCGCAGCCATTCCCCACCCCCTTCCCTCCGCCCCTTTCCTTTCCAGGACGCGCGCCCACCGAGCGCCACGCGAGCTACACGCGTCCTCAACAAAAGCCTCTTTCACGGCTCACCGCCCCTTCTGCCGCGTCCCAAATCCGCTCTCCCCTCGGCTGTCCGCTTGCAGCTCATCTGCCGCTTACAGCTCTTTGCCCCATGCGAACAGCAACAGCCAGAGGGACGGGGGAAGCTTCAGGAGGCCGGGGAAGGACTGGTAAAACCAGGGCAGTCCTTGCTAAAGCCTCAGGATCCCCACAAACAGACGCTCGTTTGTTTCGTTTTAAAAGAGCGGCGCCTCCTCATCCCTTCGCCCACCTGCTTTTCAGTGACTTTTAACCGCCCTCCCTTAGGGCAAGTCCAACGCCTGTATTAGTTCGAAACCCGAATAGCTTCGGGATGACCGGCGGAATAGTTACAAGCTCGAGCAGCGCATAATAAACGCTGTAAGCAAAGGATGAAAGCATAATTTGTATGCATATTTCCCTTTACAAATTCGGTTCCGCAGAAGGCAGCGGAGGCTAGCTGCGTACGAAGCTTTATTTTGCTCTTAAGAAAACTGGGGGATAGCTACGATAAGCATTTGGTGCCCGAACACGCCAAGAATCACTCCTTCGTAGGAATCAAGGGAAAAGGCGGGGCGGGAGGCGTTAGAGAGGCTATTAAAATGCCTTACGGTTGTCCGGAGTGCAAAATCCATCCCAAGGAAATCTCTTGGGTTTGCGGCATTATCTTAATTAAGATAATTGATTCATATTGCACCTGCGAGAATGAACGAGCGAAAGAGAGAGAGAGAGAGAA